GACCTGACACTGCGCAGAATTTATGTGGATGACGACTCAGCTAGGTGGGGGCTTCCCCACCAATTGCCCGCGTCACTAAAGCCACTCCGTGGCCATAGTTTGTTAAACTAACGAGTATTTTACCCCCTTGATGTACTCCAACCGAGACCACAAGGTCTTGCAATCGAGCTTGAAGGGCTTTGTCGCAGTCTGCAGATATCGAGTCTGATCAGCGAGATCCGTGTCTTCAACGAACTTCGCAATGAACGAAGTAATACAGGCATCGAAATCAGCAACAGCTGCACCAGGACGCGCTGCTCGAATCACGTTCCACTTGTCTCGAGCAGAGCCTTGAAGACATTTAACAAAGAAGTTAGCCCTCAATGTACCCGTGTCCAAATTCAAAGCTGAGTTGCCGGTCACTTGATCGAACTCCTTGATGACCCGAAGGACGTGTTCCGGTTCTTGTTCGTCTGCCAATACAATCATGTCATGCTTACGCTTGACGTTGTTACCAGCATGTTGCCAAGAACGGAACAACTCGGTAGTAGCGACCTCGCCAGCATTATACTCAGAGACCAAGGGAATGACCGGATTCTTGCCCGACTGACCAAGCGTCGTCATGGTGAGATAATAAACCTAAAAGTAAATAACAAACAACAATACTTGCGGCTTTATGGTTAGTAAGAGTCGCAAGTAATGACAATGAAAGAAAAAGGAGTAACTTCGTTTTGAGTTACACCCTTGAGTTACCGTTGTTAATAGAAATCGAGTGAATTTTCTAAATTGTTTGACAATGGCCAAACGCCTAGTATACGGCTGCGTAGGATGTACGCAGGAAGTTTCTTTTGCTTGATGTGCAAATTCCAACCGAACTTGCTTCTGAATTCAGAGTGAACTACGATCGGAATATTGTGAGATTAGACTTAAAACTAGCGTTAAAGCGCCACGTCATAGACGTGCGTATGTCAAGGCCAGCAGAAATCTCGCGCATTCTGAGACGCATACCAGCCGCAGCGTGATGCCGCCCAAGGATTTCCGTGTCTCCTGGGAATTTTTGGTATGGGCGAGGAAGAACTTGAAGTGACGACGGAGACTTCAATTGTTTGCATTCTCCTGGGTTTGTTATACTATACTTTTGAAATTCCCAGTCTCGCAAAAGCCGCTAAACAAAACACTTTGTCAGGAAGAATTGGAAGTGCCACAATGTGCTACAGTACCGGTAGTATTACGGTACCGACAAACCAAGTGCAAATGCCGAAATGGAACAAGTCTGTGCCAAGTAGATATTGTGCCAAACACAACAGCACAGCCTCCCGCCGAAGCGGTTGCCTTGATGGATGTCATTGTGGCACCAAGCAAGTCAGTTGTCAATCATCTGGTACAATCTTCACATAGCAATCAACTCAGCAATCTGGTCGAACTCGTCGCCACGGCGGCCCTGGCGCAAAAGGGAAACCTTCCAGCAACAACTCGAGAAGAAAGAAAAAATGCCATTGGTACATGCCGGGGTGGCTGGCCATGGCATGGGGGGGAATACAGAACAAGCTGTGCAGTACAGGTGAGCTGCCGCACAAAGGAATTCTGCGTCGATCTCATGATGTTCCAATGCACCCCCAGCCGTTCTGGGATTTTGGAGGAGGATGGGGAGACCTATGATGACTCGAATGATGATGATGATACATGTACGAACGATTTCCTTTTGGATGACAACACGGGTGACAGTGACAGCAGGCAAGGCGACCGACTCGTGGGTCGGATCGTTTGCATCTAAGTAATGGAAATTCAATTCAAATGGAAGCCCTCACAAGAGAGAGGGAGACATCAAGACTGATTAGTCATCGAGACTGATTTCTTATTTGCTTGTGCGGGGGCAACGTATTGGTGTTATTTCTGTGTATCTGTTTGCCTGGAAAACTCTGAAGAAGAGAACAGGGCATTCATGGTATCCTCGGTATTGTGGGTTTCGTGCTCCAAGCAAGAGTGGAACAGGCACACAAGCTAGGGCTTTTTAAATACGTAATAATCCACACGAGTTTATGGTAGTGTTGGTGGGCCTCTCTCAAGGCTGGCTACAGCTAGTTTGATCCGGTTTTCGCCCTCCTCCCAAGAGACAGATACCCAAGCGTTTACCGCTTCTGCAACCAACGTCACAAGCAACAGAGCTGACTCCAAGTTCCGGGGAAGATCTGGCTGTTACTGTACTACAAGCTGGCCAATTCTACCTACAGTACTGCATGCATGGACAAGATAATGGTCTGCAAACGGGGAAGCTGGAGGTTCCAGCTTCGAAATAGTCTACATGTCTACATCAGGGAAGCTTTCACGGGAGAAGCTGTAAAAAGATACCGTATGGCTTTCGCCTGTGAATTTGTGGGTACCACTAGCTAACTCATGACACTGAAACGTGCTTGATTTGTGGGAAAGCTTTAAGGATCAAGAGAAATGTGAGCATCGACTCGCTCTCGTCACTGAATTTTCCCACGGCTGTAAAAACTCAAGTGAGATCCATGAAGATTGTGAAGATGGACGTATCATTACGAAGAAAGCAACGGCAAGAACTTCCTTGCATGCCACGACATTACTGCCTCCAAGAGCCCTCAATCAGAGCGATTAATCAAGAATAGGACGAACACGGCAGGCTCCATGGCAAAGGCAAGAAGAGACATGAAACAACTCAACAATCCGCGCAGTTGCGTGACAATGGTGATCTTGGTGGGAATACTCTTGATCGACAAACAATATGTTCATGCCGCTGTTGCTGAACAGCCCACGATGCATGCGTCTCCCACAGGCAACGACGAGGAATCCCCCTTCCCGACGTTGGTGACATGGGTATCGCGATTGACAATCGCCAAGGCGCACAAGTCGCTTCGGTTCTACCGGTATTTTGGCCGCGTTTTGAATCGCCATCGTTTTGAGGGAGACGACACTGCTCGTTTCGACTGCGACTATGATGATCCAGCAAAGGTCAAGTTTTGCCCTCCGGAAACGTTCACCATCTCGGACCTTGCAAAGAGTGATGTGGATGCTGGCAACGATAATCTTTTGAATGCATTCAAGAAGAAGAAGAAGAAAAAAAGGGAGAAGAGGCACGGGTCTTTTGATTTTATTCCGTTCGATGAAGAGGAACAACGGCTTGTTCCGTCCACGACACCGACACCTTGTTTCGAAGATCCCAGATGTCGCGATCTGCTAGCCAAAGATAATCTTGCTCCATCCGTCGTGGACACCTTTTCCTTGCCCACTGGTGCCAGTCTGGCTTCGGTAGAGCCCACCTCGGATTTGTGCTACGGAAACCGAGCCTATGTTTTGGACAATCGATTTGGGTGCACACAGGAAAAGATTGACCGGCTGGAGCAAGACAAGAAGCAGTATCAAGAGTTTACAGAGAAACGACAACTGGAACGACTGGAAAAGTCTGGCGTCCTATCGAATGGCCGTGGTGCGTTTGGAGGATTCTTTACACCGTCGTTACAAGCTGGAAATGGCGGTACCACACCGGCAGACGGAGGATCCACTCCTGCTCCTACTCTGGCTACAGACGTCCCAACCTTGGCTCCGACGGATATCCCTACCTCGGCAACGGCAGATACATCGAATCCTACTGTTGCTCCGACGGATACCGCCGATCCTACCCTGACACCCACAGATACTCAAGACGACGATACTACCGACGATGCTCTGATGGGCGTTGGCGGTACTGGAGGAGATGATACTCCCCTTGAAGCTCCGGGGCTTGATGACGACTACTCGCACGACGATGATCTTGCTTATGAGATCCCTGTAATGCCTGACGACGACGAAGGCTCCAATTTTCCCAATTCCACAATTGACTATGATGACGATGACAATGGCAATGGTTTCTCACACACGGACTCGGGTCCAGGATATGGATATGCTACCAGAGAGAATACAACAACTTACCCGTTGAATGGAACCGAGTTCCATGCGGGTGGGAACATTTCTAGGGCATCCGACATGGAAGGGTCGGGGGATGGATCCGTCGCACGAGAGCCAACATATGATAGCGCAAATTACGGATTTGTCGCACGTCAGCCTAGTACTAGCACGCAGCAGATTGCATTTGGCGACGTCAACAGGTTGGATAACGATTTGGATACTTCAGGTTCAGAAGAAAGTGTCGAGGTTGACCCAAGCCTGAATGTCACGGCTCATGGAGGCATTGACAGAGAATCTGGCGTGAATGGATCTGGTTCTGGGATTATCGGAAGAGGACCAGCCATGAATGCAAGTTCCGACGGTTCTGTGTCGAGAGCCCCAGCCGTAGAAGGGCCCGCTCTACGGCCTACCGTGCCCACACGACCTCCTGTTCCTGCGCATCTAAAAAAGGACGACCTTGCAACAATGGAGCCCACCGCAGAGAATTGCGAGGGAAAACCAAAGAACAAGCGTTTCGGGTGCACACCAGAAAAGTTTGACGAACTCGACAAGGACCAGAAGTATCTCGACAACAAGGACCCCAACAGGGGAGGCAACTTCGATGCCACGCTGGAGGATCCTTACATGTCTCACAATGCATTTGGTTCCATAACACATGGCCCATCAGGTGCGAATCAAGGTGAACCAACACTCCCACCTGGTGAAAGAGGTACTGGATTTGGCTTTGACTATGGCGACGGCGGCGCGAATGAACACCTCAACCGCGGCATTGGTCTGGGGTTAGACTTCGCGACTGGTGATTCCATCTCCAGGCCACCCAGCATAGAAGGGGACGGAATGAGTTCATGGGCATACGGAGAAGTGGCAAGACCTCCGGGCAGCGAGGATGATGACGCTGTTGGAATAACGTATGGCGAGGTGACGCGTCCACCGGATGGTTACGCTGGATCGACATACGGTGAAGTGGGTAGAGTTGGCAGCTTAGATCCGTTGGCCGATGGCGAGGAAGGTGATGCAAGTGGGGCCATTTCAAGGGCACCAGGTGCGGAAGGAGACGCGAGCGGGGCTATTTCAAGGGCACCAGGTATGGAAGGAGATGCAAGTGGGGCTATTTCAAGGGCACCAGGTACGGAAGGAGACGCGAGTGGGGCTATTTCAAGGGCACCAGGTATGGAAGGATATGCGAGTGGGGCCATTTCAAGGGCACCAGGTATGGAAGGATATGCGAGTGGGGCCATTTCAAGGGCCCCAGGTATGGAAGGAGATGCGAGTGGGGCCATCTCGAGAGCCCCTGGCCTGGAAGGTAATGCAAGTGGGGCCATTTCAAGGGCACCTGGCATGGAAGGTAATGCTAGTGCACATATAGGACGAGATCCAAGTTTGGATGGCTCCGCTAATGCATCGATTACACGGAATCCTGGCTATGAAGGTACTGCTGATGGATCTATCACACGAAATCCGATGTATGAAAGCACTCCTGATGGATCTATTGATTTGTCCAATTCCTCTATCGGACAATATCCAGGTTATGATGGTTTGCCCAATGCCTCTATCACACGAAATCCAGGCTATGGGGGTGCTACGGATGGTTCGATTACGCGAAATCCAAGCTATGGAGGTGCCGCTGATGGATCTATCACACGAAATCCGTCCTATGAAGGCACAACTGATGGATCTACCACACGAGTTCCTTCTGTGTCAGGGCAAGAGCCCATCACAATGAGCCCAGCCGTTCTCAAGGCAATCAAAGGGGAGCCGCAGGGGGGAATTCCCGGACTTATCAATGTTGGTTGGCCCACAGTGGAGCCATCTGAGGCTTTTAATACTTTTGGGGCCGTCACACGGCCACCAGATCTTGGATCAATTTCACGACCTCCCAATCACGACTCGTTGGTATTGGTTGAAAGACCTTCAACAACCATAGATATCGAGGGAGATGCCACCAGGCCACCATCTCGCGAGGATGGGGGATCACCGACATCTGGTCTGGAACCAACTTCAGTTGCGAAAGCACCAATCACGAAGCCACCTGTACAGCCGAACTATGGGTCGATTTCACCCCCGCCTAACCATGGAAACCTTGATGTTCCTGTTCTGATTTCTCAACCAAGCAGAGAGATCGTTGCCCCTGCCACCACTGCACCGGTTACAAGGGGGGTCAGTTATGCTCCCGTACAAGAAAATGTTGGAAGCATCCCAATCCCCCCCGCGCGCATTCCAACCATAACTTCAAATGCTACAACGGCGACAAATGCTACGAACAGTCCAACCGTCCCTAACAGGAATCCAACTTCCACAAGTACTCCAACTGGAACAACATTTCAATCCGCAGATCCAACAAGACCAACAGAATCCAACCAAACAAACGCACCCAATGCTGAAACAATCGCACCCAATGCTGAAACAATCGCACCCAATCCCGAAACGAAGACACCTAATCCTGTTTTGGAAGCCAACATCACAAGACCACCCACACAGCTACCTACAATCATTCCGTTGGCTAATCCATCATCAACAAAGAAACCAACCCCACAAGAAGGAAGTCAAAACAGTGCATTCCCAACATCTGGGACTTCATCCCTTGAAATTTCTACAGACGAACCAACCTCACCTAGCTCCGAACAGCCTTCACAGAAAGGAACCATGCAGAGGCCAAGCATGCCTCCTGGTACAGTTCCGTCAAAAACAACCAGCCCTACACCCCAAAACTCCTTCGAATCTTCGCAAGTTGGGAGTGTGCAGAAGCCTAGTTCAACTCAAGGTACGATTGCACCCAACACAAATATTCCAACAGCCATGGACTCTGTCCAGTCTTCACAAGTTGGCAGCGTACAAAGACCAACAATTGCATCACAGCAACAGCCAAGTTCTGTTGTGGCTCCCACATCATCTGGGAGTCCTACCAGTGCACAGCCCACTTTTGCTGGTGTACCACCATCTAGTGCGTCTCCCAATGCCAATCCTCCTGTGACAGCCCCAGCTGCAACAGGAAGTCCGTCAAAGGCACCACAAGCAGGGCCAATCCCAGCACCCATCACGACGTCAGCTCCCATCATTGCTCCCACAGAATCTGGAACCCCAACCAGTGCACCGCAGCAACAGCCAAGTTCTGTTGTGGCTCCCACATCATCTGGGAGTCCTACCAGTGCACAGCCCACTTTTGCTGGTGTACCACCATCCAGTACAGCCCCAAATGCCAATCCTCCTGTGTGTGACAGCCCCATCCGCAACAAGAGGGCCTTCAGTGGCCCCTCAGCCAGGGCCAAGTACAGCACCAATCACGACGTCAGCTCCCATCAGTTCTCCCACAACATTTGGAACTCCAACCACTGCACCGCAGCAACAGCCAAGTTTTGTTGTGGCTCCCGCATCATCTGGAGTCCTACCAGTGCACAGCCCACTGTTGTTGTGGACCATCATCCAGACACCCCAAATGCCAATCCTCCTGTGACAGCCCCATCAGCAACTGGCGGGCCTTCAGTGGCCCCTCAGCCGGGGCCAAGCTCGGCACCAATCACGACATCAGCTCCCAACAGTTCTCCCACAGCATTTGGAACTCCAACCAGTGCACCCCAGAGACAGCCAAGTTCCGTTGTGGAGCCCACATCTTCTGGGAGTCCTACCAGCGGACAGCCCACTATTGTTGGTGTACCATCATCCACTACATCTCCGAATGTCAATCCTCCTGTGACATCCCCATCAGCAACTGGCGGGCCTTCAGTGGCCCCTCAGCCGCGGCCAAGCTCGGCACCAATCACGACCTCAGCTCCTATCAGTTCTCCCACAGCTTCTGGAACTCCAACCAGTGCACCCCAGCGACAGCCAAGTTCCGTTGTGGCACCCACAATTTCATCGAGACCGAGTCCTCTTTTACCAAGCAGTCAACCAATTCCAGGTGATGTCAACGAAAACCAAACATCTGTGCCATCACCATCAGGTACTTCCTACTCTCCCACATGAAGCCTTCGAGGCATTGTGAGGATGGTCTCTGCCGGGAGTGCTATGATATTTTTGACCATGATGGGGTCAATGTTGGTTTTATGTCATTGGACACTGGCATCCACCCCTATGCACCTATTGGCAATGAAACTAACGGTTTCGTTGAAAGGCGGCGCATGTCTGGTAGTTTGCACACAGAGGAGACTTCGCCAGGGATCCGTTTGCTTGTTGAAGTTGTTGGTAACTGGCGTGTTGTGGGTCAGCAGATGTGGCTTGGGCTAGACATGATGGATTCCCCCAAGGATTCTGATGGCAACCCAGACTTTGATGCGTTCCCCTACTCTTTCAGTGTAGATGCGGCGGAGAATGAAACTGAGGTTTCCAAGCTAATGAAATCCAGCTGCCAAAACTTCACCGACGATTTCTACATCCTTGAGGGTATTTCTACTCTGGTCTTGCAGAAGGTGGATGGGCGAGGTGATCTTGTGAACGGGACTGAAATAACTGTCATGATCCAAGAATACAACCCCATTAAGGTTGGGAACACAGAGGTTGCATGGTTTGATTTCCAAGTGAACTGTGACTGCATTGGGGCTGACCCAAGCATGGCTCCAGCCTCCTTACCGACTGTAGAACAACCAACAACAGACCACCCAAGTGCAAATCCACCCAACAGACTCCCAACAACATCCCCAACATTGCAACCGTCCCAAATATCAACTTCTGGACCCAGCTTTGCTCCAGCTGCTAGTGACCAACCAAGTACGCACGAAGGTCCCGAAGTTTGTATCGAGGCAATCAATGGCAGCCACAGAGAATGTCATGGGTTTATGACAGATGAAGGCAAGTTTGTTGGTAACATGTGCCTTGAAGTTGGTTTGCAGTCTACTGGCATTGTGGTCAGGTTTGAAACTGTTGGGAATTGGCGTATCGTAGGTCAGCACATGTGGGTTGGAAGCAATGTGGTGAACATGCCTAGGACCGAAGATGGCAGTCCCAATGTTGAAGCATTCCCTTACAACTGGAGTGACAAGAAGGGTCAAACTGGTGTCACTCAGCTCCTCACACCCAGGTGTGAAAGCGGCACAAACAAACGGTATTCGGAACAAGGTGTGGTCCAACTGGAGCTTCGTCAAGTGGATGATGCAGGAGATGTGATTGCAAGTGCAGGGAGTAGCGCCTTTGTTGAACAATACAGCACATTGGGCAATGTCAGCAGTCCTTTTGGATGGTTCGAGTTTCATGTGAACTGCCATTGCGCAGACAAGATGACGTCAGCCCCATCAGCAACTGGCGGGCCTTCAGTGGCCCCTCAGCCGGGGCCAAGCTCGGCACCAATCACGACCTCAGCTCCTATCAGTTCTCCCACAGCTTCGGGAACTCCAACCAGTGCACCCCAGCGACAGCCAAGTTCCGTTGTGGAGCCCACATCTTCTGGGATTCCTACCAGCGGACAGCCCACTATTGTTGGTGTACCATCATCCACTACATTCCCAAATGTCAATCCTCCTGTGACAGCCCCATCAGCAACTCGTGGGCCTTCAGTGGCCCCTCAGCCGGGGCCAAGCTCGGCGCCCACGCGACATCAGCTCCCAACACTTCTCCCACAGCTTCGGGAACTCCAACCAGTGCACCCCTGCGACATCCAAGTTCCGTTGTGGAGCCCACATCTTCTGGGAGTCCTACCAGCGACAGCCCACTATTGTGGTGTACCCATCCATACATCTCCGAATGTCAATCCTCCTGTGACATCCCCATCAGCAACTGGCGGGCCTTCAGTGGCCCCTCAGCCGGGGCCAAGCTCGGCACCAATCACGACCTCAGCTCCTATCAGTTCTCCCACAGCTTCTGGAACTCCAACCAGTGCACCCCAGCGACAGCCAAGTTCCGTTGTGGCACCCACAATTTCATCGAGACCGAGTCCTCTTTTACCAAGCAGTCAACCAATTCCAGGTGATGTCAACGAAAACCAAACATCTGTGCCATCACCATCAGGTACTTCCTACTCTCCCACATTGAAGCCTTCGAGGCATTGTGAGGATGGTCTCTGCCGGGAGTGCTATGATATTTTTGACCATGATGGGGTCAATGTTGGTTTTATGTCATTGGACACTGGCATCCACCCCTATGCACCTATTGGCAATGAAACTAACGGTTTCGTTGAAAGGCGGCGCATGTCTGGTAGTTTGCACACAGAGGAGACTTCGCCAGGGATCCGTTTGCTTGTTGAAGTTGTTGGTAACTGGCGTGTTGTGGGTCAGCAGATGTGGCTTGGGCTAGACATGATGGATTCCCCCAAGGATTCTGATGGCAACCCAGACTTTGATGCGTTCCCCTACTCTTTCAGTGTAGATGTGGCGGAGAATGAAACTGAGGTTTCCAAGCTAATGAAATCCAGCTGCCAAAACTTCACCGACGATTTCTACATCCTTGAGGGTATTTCTACTCTGGTCTTGCAGAAGGTGGATGGGCGAGGTGATCTTGTGAACGGGACTGAAATAACTGTCATGATCCAAGAATACAACCCCATTAAGGTTGGGAACACAGAGGTTGCATGGTTTGATTTCCAAGTGAACTGTGACTGCATTGGGGCTGACCCAAGCATGGCTCCAGCCTCCTTACCAACTGTAGAACAACCAACAACAGACCACCCAAGTGCAAATCCACCCAACAGACTCCCAACAACATCCCCAACATTGCAACCGTCCCAAATATCAACTTCTGGACCCAGCTTTGCTCCAGCTGCTAGTGACCAACCAAGTACGCACGAAGGTCCCGAAGTTTGTATCGAGGCAATCAATGGCAGTCACAGAGAATGCCATGGGTTTATGGCAGGTGAAGGCAAGCTTGTTGGTAACATGTGCCTTGAAGTTGGTTTGCAGTCTACTGGCATTGAGGTCAGGTTTGAAACTGTTGGGAATTGGCGTATCGTAGGTCAGCACATGTGGGTTGGAAGCAATGTTGTGAACATGCCTAGGACCGAAGATGGCAGTCCCAATTTTGAATCATTCCCTTACAACTGGAGTGACAAGAAGGGCCAATCTGTAGTCAGCCAATTGGTCACTACAAGATGCACTGGTGACATGGACAGCACTTACTCAGAGGAGGGCATGGTTCAGCTGGAGCTTCTGCAGGTTGACGCAGAAGGTGTAGCTGTTTCTGATTCACCAACAACTGTCTTTGTTCAAGAGTACACATCAGTGGCTGGTGCACTGGGCCCTTTTGGGTGGTTTGACTTTCAGGTGAACTGCAATTGCACTGATAATGTGCCAAGCCAGGCTCCCTCGGTAACTGGTGGTCCAAGCACAACTCACTCTCCAACAGGCTCCCCAACTACATCCCTGACGGACGTCCCGACAGGCTCCCCAACTACATCCACATCAGGCTACCCATCAGGACATTCAACAGGCTACCCCACTTCGACCCCAACAGCATATCCAACCGGACATCCAACGGGCTACCAAACAGGCTACCCCACTTCGTCCCCAACATCATATCCAACCGGACATCCAACGATCTACCCAACAGGCTACCCTACTTCGTCCCCAACAGCATATCCAACAGGACATCCAACGGGCTACCCAACAGCATCTCCAACAGACCACACCACTTTGTCCCCAACAGGATTCCCAACTGCATCGCCAACAGGGAAGCCATCCATAGTATCAACCGCTGAGCCAAGTTTGCCTAGCAGTCTTCCTCCAACTCCCCATGTTCCCAGCATTTGCATCATGACAAGGGATGGGAGCCACAAAGAATGCCATGAGGTTCTGTCAGAGAAAGGAGCTGTTGTAGGCAACATGTGCCTTGAAGTTGGTTTGCAGTCTACTGGCATTGAGGTCAGGTTTGAAACTGTTGGGAATTGGCGTATCGTTGGTGAGCACATGTGGGTTGGAAGCAATGTGGTGAACATGCCAAGGACCAAAGACGGCAGTCCCAATGTTGAAGCATTCCCTTACCACTGGAGTGACAAGAAGGGCCAATCTGTAGTCAGCCAATTGCTCACTACAAGATGCACTCGTGACATGGACAGCACTTACTCAGAGGAGGGCATGGTTCAGCTAGAGCTTCTGCAGGTTGACGCAGAAGGTGTAGCTGTTTCTGATTCACCAACAACTGTCTTTGTTCAAGAGTACTCATCAGCGGCTGGTGCACTGGGCCCTTTTGGGTGGTTTGACTTTCAGGTGAACTGCAATTGCACTGATAATGTGCCAACCCAGGCTCCCTTGGTAACTGGTGGTCCAAGCACAACTCACTCTCCAACAGGGTCCCCAACTACATCCCTGTCGGGACGTCCGACAGGCTCCCCAACTACATCCACATCAGGCTACCCATCAGGACATTCAACAGGCTACCCCACTTCGACCCCAACAGCATATCCAACCGGACATCCAACGGGCTACCCAACAGGCTACCCCACTTCGTCCCCAACATCATATCCAACCGGACATCCAACAGGCTACCCAACAGGCTACCCTACTTCGTCCCCAACAGCATATCCAACAGGACATCCAACGGGCTACCCAACAGCATCTCCAACAGACCACACCACTTTGTCCCCAACAGGATTCCCAACTGCATCGCCAACAGGGAAGCCATCCATAGTATCAACCGCTGAGCCAAGTTTGCCTAGCAGCCTTCCTCCAACTCCCCATGTTCCCAGCATTTGCATCATGACAAGGGATGGGAGCCACAAAGAATGCCATGAGGTTCTGTCAGAGAAAGGAGCTGTTGTAGGCAACATGTGCCTTGAAGTTGGTTTGCAGTCTACTGGCATTGAGGTCAGGTTTGAAACTGTTGGGAATTGGCGTATCGTTGGTGAGCACATGTGGGTTGGAAGCAATGTGGTGAACATGCCAAGGACCGAAGACGGCAGTCCCAATGTTGAAGCATTCCCTTACCACTGGAGTGACAAGAAGGGCCAATCTGTAGTCAGCCAATTGCTCACTACAAGATGCACTGGTGACATGGACAGCACTTACTCAGAGGAGGGCATGGTTCAGCTGGAGCTTCTGCAGGTTGACGCAGAAGGTGTAGCTGTTTCTGATTCACCAACAACTGTCTTTGTTCAAGAGTACACATCAGTGGCTGGTGCACTGGGCCCTTTTGGGTGGTTTGACTTTCAGGTGAACTGCAATTGCGCTGATAATGTGCCAAGCCAGGCTCCCTCGGTAACTGGTGGTCCAAGCACAACTCACTCTCCAACAGGCTCCCCAACTACATCCCTATCGGACGTCCCGACAGGCTCCCCAACTACATCCACATCAGGCTACCCATCTGGACATTCAACAGGCTACCCCACTTCGACCCCAACAGCATATCCAACCGGACATCCAACGGGCTACCCAACAGGCTACCCCACTTCGTCCCAACACATATCCAACGGACATCCAACGAGCTACCCAACAGGCTACCCTACTTCGTCCCCAACAGCATATCCAACAGGACATCCAAGCGGCTACCCAACAGCATCCAACAGACCACACCACTTTGTCCCCAACAGGATTCCCAACTGCATCGCCAACAGGGAAGCCATCCATAGTATCAACCGCTGAGCCAAGTTTGCCTAGCAGTCTTCCTCCAACTCCCCATGTTCCCAGCATTTGCATCATGACAAGGGATGGGAGCCACAAAGAATGCCATGAGGTTCTGTCAGAGAAAGGAGCTGTTGTAGGCAACATGTGCTTGAAGTTGGTTTGCAGTCTACTGGCATTGAGGTCAGGTTTGAAACTGTTGGGAATTGGCGTATCGTTGGTGAGCACATGTGGGTTGGAAGCAATGTGGTGAACATGCCAAGGACCAAAGACGGCAGTCCCAATGTTGAAGCATTCCCTTACCACTGGAGTGACAAGAAGGGCCAATCTGTAGTCAGCCAATTGCTCACTACAAGATGCACTGGTGACATGGACAGCACTTACTCAGAGGAGGGCATGGTTCAGCTAGAGCTTCTACAGGTTGATGCAGAAGGTGTAGCTGTTTCTGATTCACCAACAACTGTCTTTGTTCAAGAGTACACATCAGCGGCTGGTGCACTGGGCCCTTTTGGGTGGTTTGACTTTCAGGTGAACTGCAATTGCACTGATAATGTGCCAACCCAGGCTCCCTCGGTAACTGGTGGTCCAAGCACAACTCACTCTCCCAACAGGCTCCCCAACTACATCCCTGTGGACGTCCCGACAGGCTCCCCAACTACATCCACATCAGGCTACCCATCGGACATTCAACAGGCTACCCCACTCGTCCCCAACAGCATATCCAACCGGACATCCAACGGGCTACCCAACAGGCTACCCCACTTCGTCCCCAACACATATCCAACCGGACATCCAACGAGCTACCCACAGGCTACCCCTTCGTCCCCAACAGCATATCCAACAGGACATCCAACGGGCTACCCAACAGCATCTCCAACAGACCACACCACTTTGTCCCCAACAGGATTTCCAACTGCATCGCCAACAGGAAGCCATCCATAGTATCAACCGCTGAGCCAATTTGCCTAGCAGTCTTCCTCCAACTCCCCATGTTCCCAGCATTTGCATCATGACAAGGGATGGGAGCCACAAAGAATGCCATGAGGTTCTGTCAGAGAAAGGAGCTGTTGTAGGCAACATGTGCCTTGAAGTTGGTTTGCAGTCTACTGGCATTGAGGTCAGGTTTGAAACTGTTGGGAATTGGCGTATCGTTGGTGAGCACATGTGGGTTGGAAGCAATGTGGTGAACATGCCAAGGACCGAAGACGGCAGTCCCAATGTTGAAGCATTCCCTTACCACTGGAGTGACAAGAAGGGCCAATCTGTAGTCAGCCAATTGCTCACTACAAGATGCACTGGTGACATGGACAGCACTTACTCAGAGGAGGGCATGGTTCAGCTAGAGCTTCTACAGGTTGATGCAGAAGGTGTAGCTGTTTCTGATTCACCAAGAACTGTCTTTGTTCAAGAGTACACATCAGTGGCTGGTGCACTGGGCCCTTTTGGGTGGTTTGACTTTCAGGTGAACTGCAATTGCACTGATAATGTGCCAACCCAGGCACCCTCGGTAACTGGTGGTCCAAGCACAACTCACTCTCCAACAGGCTCCCCAACTACATCCCTATCGGGACGTCCGACAGGCTCCCCAACTACATCCGCATCAGGCTACCCATCTGGACATTCAACAGGCTACCCCACGTCGTCCCCAACAGCATATCCAACCGGACATCCAACGGGCTACCCAACAGGCTACCCCACTTCGTCCCCAACAGCATATCCAACCGGACATCCAACGGGCTACCCAAACTACACCACTTTGTCCCCAACAGGATTTCCAACTGCATCGCCAACAGGGAAGCCATCCATAGTATCAACCGCTGAGCCAAGTTTGCCTAGCAGTCTTCCTCCAACTCCCCATGTTCCCAGCATTTGCATCATGACAAGGGATGGGAGCCACAAAGAATGCCATGAGGTTCTGTCAGAGAAAGGAGCTGTTGTAGGCCTCATGTGCCTTGAAGTTGGTTTGCATTCTACTGGCATTGAGGTCAGGTTCGAAACTGTTGGGAATTGGCGTATCCTTGGTGAGCACATGTGGGTTGGAAGCAATGTGGTGAACATGCCAAGGACCGAAGACGGCAGTCCCAATGTTGAAGCATTCCCTTACCACTGGAGTGACAAGAAGGGCCAATCTGTAGTCAGCCAATTGCTCACTACAAGATGCACTGGTGACATGGACAGCACTTACTCAGAGGAGGGCATGGTTCAGCTGGAGCTTCTGCAGGTTGACGCAGAAGGAGTAGCTGTTTCTGATTCAACCGTTGTTGCCTTTGCAGAAGAGTTCAGCTCCGCATGTGGAGGATGGTTTGACTTTCAAGTGAACTGCAATTGCACTGATAATGTGCCAACCCAGGCTCCTTCGGTAACTGGTGGTCCAAGCACAACTCACGCTCCAACAGGCTCCCCAACTACATCCCTATCGGGACGTCCGACAGGCTCCCCAACTACATCCACATCAGGCTACCCATCAGGAGATTCAACAGGCTACCCCACTTCGACCCCAACAGCATATCCAACCGGACATCCAACGGGCTACCAAACAGGCTACCCCACTTCGTCCCCAACATCATATCCAACCGGACATCCAACGGGCTACCCAACAGCATCTTCAACAGACCACACCACTTTGTCCCCAACAGGATTCCCAACTGCATCGCCAACAGGGAAGCCATCCATAGTATCAACCGCTGAGCCAAGTTTGCCTAGCAGTCTTCCTCCAACTCCCCATGTTCCCAGCATTTGCATCATGACAAGGGATGGGAGCCACAAAGAATGCCATGAGGTTCTTTCAGAGAAAGGAGCTGTTGTAGGCAACATGTGCCTTGAAGTTGGTTTGCAGTCTACTGGCATTGAGGTCAGGTTTGAAACTGTTGGGAATTGGCATATCATTGGTGAGCACATGTGGGTTGGAAGCAATGTGGTGAACATGCCAAGGACCAAAGACGGCAGTCCCAATGTTGAAGCATTCCCTTACCACTGGAGTGACAAGAAGGGCCAATCTGTAGTCAGCCAATTGCTCACTACAAGATGCACTGGTGACATGGACAGCACTTACTCAGAGGAGGGCATGGTTCAGCTGGAGCTTCTGCAGGTTGACGCAGAAGGAGTAGCTGTTTCTGATTCACCAACAACTGTCTTTGTTCAAGAGTACTCATCAGCGGCTGGTGCACTGGGCCCTTTTGGGTGGTTTGACTTTCAGGTGAACTGCAATTGCACTGATAATGTGCCAAGCCAGGCTCCCTCGGTAACTGGTGGTCCAAGCACAACTCACTCTCCAACAGGCTCCCCAACTACATCCCTATCAGAACATCCGACAGGCTCCCCAACTACATCCACATCAGGCTACCCATCAGGACATTCAACAGGCTACCCCACTTCGCCCCCAACAGCATATCCAACCGGACATCCAACGGGCTACCAAACAGGCTACCCCACTTCGTCCCCAACATCATATCCAACCGGACATCCAACGAGCTACCCAACAGGCTACCCTACTTCGTCCCCAACAGAATATCCAACCGGACATCCAACGGGCTACCCAACAGCATCTCCAACAGACCACACCACTTTGTCCCCAACAGGATTCCCAACAGGATTCCCAACTGCATCGCCAACAGGGAAGCCATCCATAGTATCAACCGCTGAGCCAAGTTTGCCTAGCAGTCTTCCTCCAACTCCCCATGTTCCCAGCATTTGCATCATGACAAGGGATGGGAGCCACAAAGAATGCCATGAGGTTCTTTCAGAGAAAGGAGCTGTTGTAGGCAACATGTGCCTTGAAGTTGGTTTGCAGTCTACTGGCATTGAGGTCAGGTTTGAAACTGTTGGGAATTGGCGTATCATTGGTGAGCACATGTGGGTTGGAAGCAATGTGGTGAACATGCCTAGAACCGAAGATGGCAGTCCCAATGTTGAAGCATTCCCTTACCACTGGAGTGACAAGAAGGGCCAATCTGTAGTCAGCCAATTGCTCACTACAAGATGCACTGGTGACGTGGACAGCACTTACTCAGAGGAGGGCATGGTTCAGCTGGAGCTTCTGCAGGTTGACGCAGAAGGAGTAGCTGTTTCTGATTCACCAACAACTGTCTTTGTTCAAGAGTACTCATCAGCGGCTGGTGCACTGGGCCCTTTTGGGTGGTTTGACTTTCAGGTGAACTGCAATTGCACTGATAATGTGCCAACCCAGGCTCCCTCGGTAACTGGTGGTCCAAGCACAACTCACTCTCCAACAGGCTCCCCAACTACATCCCTATCAGGACGTCCGACAGGCTCCCCAACTACATCCGCACCAGGCTACCCATCAGGACATTCAACAGGCTACCCCACTTCGCCCCCAACGGCAAATCCAACCGGACACCCAACAAGCTACCCAACAGGCTACCCTACTTTGTCCCCAACGGGACACCCAACAAGCTACCCTACCCAGTTGCCAACGGCATATCCAACCGGACACACAACGAGCTACCCGACGGGCTACCCTACTTCGTTGCCAACGGCATATCCAACCGGACACCCAACAGGCAACCCTACTTTATCCCCAACAGCAAATCCAACTGGATACCCAACGGGCTACCCAACGGGCTACCCAACAGGCTACCCTACTTCGTCGCCAACAGCATATCCAACGGGACACCCAACAGGCTACCCCACTTCGTCCCCAACATCATATCCAACCGGACATCCAACGAGCTACCCAACAGGCTACCCTGCTTCGTCCCCAACGGCATATCCATCCGGACATCCAACGAGCTACCCAACAGGCTACCCTGCTTCGTCCCCAACAGCGTATCCAACCGGACATCCAACGGGCTACCCAACAGGGCATCCAACGTTCCCAACAAGCCACCCAAGTTCATCCCATACAGGATTTCCAACAGGGAACCCAACTGTTTCTCCTACACTTGGTGAAACAAAGTACCCCAAATTGCATCCCACAGAAAGTCCAACATCTAGGCCAACAGCTTACCCGACAATCCATCCCACAGTAGTGCCAGCTCTAGATGTGCCTTCCTCAACTCCCTCTTGGGCACCATCACTTCATGATGTTATCCCAACTGTCCCAACTTGGATTTCAACAAGTCATCCTTCCATCAAAGTAAACATTTCTGCAACACAATCCCCTTCGGCTCTTCCGGCGAGCTGTTGTCTTAACACAAGAAACAAGGTTGGCCGATATTGTCTTCCCTTGATCTCATCACTGGAAGCCGTGGTGGGGAAGGTCTGTATGGAACTGGATTCCAACCGGCCTACAGTTAAGTTTTCGTTTACAGCAACTGGGATGTGGGCTCTTCTCAAGGTTGATTTTTGGGCCGGGCATGATGTGGCAACTGCACCGGCGTCTGTTGTTAATGGTTCCCGTTATCCTTACTATTGGTGTAGCTCAGATGGCGCTTCCAGTTGGGACGTTGAGGTAGAGTTGGATGCCGAACGCCTCATGGGTGAACATACTTCCATACTTGGCATTGCAGAAGTGTTGGTCGTGAGAACTTTCGCAAATGGGACTGTGATTCCCCAAACTGAAGAAAAAGTGAAAGCCAAAGGATCAGTTCTGCAGACCGGCTATGACGAACGCGTTTTGTTACATAACTCCATTCGATGTGACTGTTCAACGATTGAGAAAAGTTCGCCACCAGTGCATCCTGACGTGTGCATCCAGGTCCCCGATCTATCGGGCAAGAAGTGCTTCCGTTTGGCCAACAAAAATGGAGTGTCAGTTGGACGGACATGTGGCAACGTCAACATCATTTTGAATACCTTCGAGCTTATATTTTACGCGGACCCACCATGGAGCCTCCTTGACGTGAAAGTCTGGGTAGGATATGATCCTTTCAATGCTCCTGAGCTCCAGAACAACCATAGTTTTCCATTCTTTTGGTGCAACTCGACCGGTGAGGGCCGATGGAAAGTCTTGGTAGATCTCCCTGACAAGGGAGGGTGCTCCAACAGCAAGTCCTTAACAATCTTTGCAAAAGCAAGCTCAAAGGTCGGGCGTACCTTTGCAAACGGCTCGATCATTCAAGGTACAGAAGAATTTGCTAGCGTTGTCGCCTGGAATCACGAATCTGGATCACAATCGACCGATACCAGCGGTACTGGCGTGCACGCAGAAAGACAACAGGAAGGAATCTTTGACTTCACGATAACCGGTGCGTGCAAAGGCTTACCCAATGGGTCCCTGGTCAACGAGACCGGCAAGTCTCTCGAGCCTCTCATCACGATTGAAACCGAGGAGAAACAATGTCACCCCTTGCTCACGGACCACATGGTAGCAGTCGGCACTGTTTGTCTTGAAATCATTGGCGATCCACCGTTTCTTGAAGTATCATTTCGCGCAGAAGGGGTCTTTCGTTTACTTGACACGAAATTGTGGGTTGGATCAAACAATGACAGTGCCCCGATCGCCCCTAGTGACATGTCAAGGAGTAAACACCATCTATTCCCTTATTACTGGTGCGAATCGTCAGGGTCGAATCATTGGAAAGCACACATCAAGCTCAACGAAACCAAGGAGTGCCAGGCCAGAAACCCATTCACGGTGTCATACGTTGCTCATTCAAAGGTGGCCCGAACATTTTCAAATGGAAGTGTGATAGCGGGAACGGAGGAACATGTCAGTGTTTATGAGGGTGGCAACGCCTCCGCCTTGGAAGTCAGAAGTCGAAGCCCCCTGTCGAGTATTTCAGTGCTATGCAAGAATGAAGTACGGGATTTACCTCCCAGTCTGAACCCACCCCAGCAGCTGCCGATATGCTTGGATACAAATGATCCCTCCGGAAAGATTTGTTATGCCTTGGAATCGGCGAGGGGGTATCGTCCTGGGTTTGTTTGTGTTTCTGTGAAGCCGGGAAGCCCATCAGTTCTGCGAGCGAGATTCACTTCCAAATATAAATTGGCACTTACCAAGACCGCGTTCTGGGCTGGTCTCACCTTCGATTCCATCCCTATGTTGCCGGGTAACAGCAGTGGAGTCCCAGATCTGGCCCACTTTCCTCGATTTTGGTCGAACTCGTCAGGGCAGCCTTCTTGGGAAACTGAGTTGGATGTCAACATGAACTCCATTTGCGATAGAGGCGATCGTTTCAAATTGTACGTCGTTGCTCATTCGGTTTTAGAGAGACGATCCAACAAAGGCGTGCCAATGCCCCACACACGGGAGATTTTGTATGCAAGGGGTTCCCGTGGTCAGCGTACCTTTGGATGGTTTGAGCTTCCAGTGAGGTGTGACTGCCCGAAGAAAGAAGAGGTTGTCGTCAAGGAAGAAGCGCCGCTAGCAGCCAAACCGAAACACGACGTTTGTTTCACTGCGCCGCACGGGACCCTTGAGCGATGTTTCCTCATGGTAGTTGCAGGGAGAGCTCCTGGTGGTACGGCTTGTCTCGACATTGTTGACACGCCCGAAGATGGGGGTTCTGTATTGCAGGTAACCTACAAATCCACCGCCGATATATGGGGCATCCTCAAGACAATTATTTGGACAGGTTTGAACCCACAGGACGCCCCGACTGTGCATCCCCTCAACGCAACACTCGAAGATGATTTTACAATCTTCCGATACAATTCCTCCGGAGATCGAACACACACCTACCACCCCATGCCGCTGAATGTCACTGAGAATTGTGGCAATGGTCAGGAGAGCTTTGATGTGTTTGTTCTGGCCCAGGCCGTGGTGACTCTCGTCGACCGGCAGACGTTAAGGGTCATCAAACCAGTGAAGAAGCACCCTGCGATTGTGTACAATCCGGACTGGTCGCCGTCGGATACCCAGATCCAGAAGGGCTTTGCCTTGACAATCCAATGCAACTGCACCTATGGCAGGGCGCGTCGAATACGGGAACTTGAAATCTACCCTGACCAAAGGAAACAATTCCCGTTTTAGCACAACATCCATCTGCACATCTACATTTGATTTCATGATGCATGTCTACGTTTCCACAGATAATACATATAAGGCAGACATAAAATACCAATCGCATCATGATTACCGAAATGCATACCTCCTAGCTAGCTTTTAGCTGTGCAAAACTTGAGGCTGTCGTAAACGAAGACAGGACAGCTGCCAGTTGATCTCGTAGCACTCCTGTCCAGCAGAGTGAAGTTGCAACAACAGGCAAAGAAAAGCACTGGTGGCATAGAGCCAGTGCAAAGCATCAAAGATACCATCACGCAGTATCAGTTACTATGATTCAGTCACTCAGATATGGACAAAACAAATGTCAACTCTCCAGGCCCAGAGATGCCGTCCCTACTCCACTAGCCAGAACCACCCCCACCCCCCATCATCCCAAACGTTTTGGAATGGTGCAGCCAAAGGAGCTACCGGTACCAGATACCGTCTGAAACTGGGACGTAGTTTCATTCAGCTTTGATGCCTCATATCAACGAAAGATGACCGCGACCTTGCAAGACCCATTTGTGTGGGCTTCTCATGTGGCATTTCCAAGGCCGTTGCGAAACCAAATCAGTTTCTCAAAATCTCTGTGACCCTTGCTTGAGCCACCTTCGACAACATTGCTACCACGATGACGGCTTCTTCCCTTGGCCGTGCTTGGGCACCCCTTCTGGCTGCAACCTTGTTTTCTGCTCTCGCAGTGTCTGTCGCAGACAATGGCGTCTACGTTGCTGACTATGGTGTGGATGTTTCCTATCCCATGCACACCCATGAAGTCTCCAAGAATTATCACTGGCTACCTCACAATGTTGATTCGTCCCTGGAAATCCCTCCCGAACACGCTGGTCGCACTGTTCAACGCTTCGGTGATCGACAGACAGAATACGAAAGGCTCATCAAGGGATGTGCTGATCATTATGGCCCCAAAGGATTCTTGTGTTATGAAAACGAAAATGATCGCATTGCCATGAACATGCGACAACCCCAATCCATGGTCAATTACACCAAGCTGGGATTCACTAAAATCAAAGCTCCTGAAGCAGTCTTTAAACTCATTCAGGAATTTTGGCAGGCCAATCGTCATCGAGCACTTGAAGAAAGCTGGCCCAAGGGGTGAGGGGAAAACTTTTGTAATGAAAGGGACCAAGGATTCTAATGGATGGTATCTAACTCTGCCTTTATTTCTTTGCTTGCTCATTGTGCTTTCCTTGCCCATCAAATTTCAACTACAATCCACGCCATTTCCAATCATGTATTTATTTGATCGACGCTTTGATGGTCTCCATTTTACAGAAACACCTATGTAAATCACTGGGAGGGACGATCTCTCATGGCCAGTGTAGAAGATCAAACGCTGGTAGGAGGAGGAGAAGTGCTCAAACAACAAATCTGGGGTGCCGCACGAGATACCATTCAGGAATGGACTGGACAGCGATTGGCGGAATGCTCCCTCTACGGAGTTCGAATTTATGAAGAAGGGGCTGTGCTGGCCACTCACGTAGATAGGCTTCCATTGGTCAGTTCTGCCATTATTAATGTGGACCAAGATGTGGATGAGCCGTGGCCACTGGAAGGTATGTATATGTTTCTCCAATGCTTTCAAAAAAGGATACAAACATGATGGACACAAATGATCTGGTCCATATTCTAACAATTTTGAATGAATCTGCCTTCCAGTGATTGGACACGATGGCAAGGCCCACAAGTATGTTTCTCCAATGTTATCAAAAAGAATACAAACGCGATGGAAACAATGATATGGTCCATATATCTAACAATTTTGAATGCATCTTCCTTCCAGTGTTACAATGGAACCTGGTGACCTTGTTCTATACGAGAGTCACAGTGTCCTTCATGGCGTAAGTTACTGTCATTGTTTGCGCATGCTTTCTCCATATCGGGGCTCTAACCCAAGTCTGCCCATGCTATGCTATGTAGCGCCCATTCCCTCTCAAAGGTAAGTGTGACTGGAAACTGGCGGCACAAACCCTGTTTGACAGAGTCGAGACCCCAGTCTACCAACCAGGCCAGAACTTATTCTTATCCTGATCGCTTTCACTTTGACAGGGCGGTTCTATGCCAATGTCTTCGTGCATTTTGAGTAAGAGATTCAGTTTAATTATTTCAACACGGCAATTGCACGCCCATTGGGGAACTAACTTCTTTTGATGCACACGACAACTTTCTCTGCAGACCAATCGGCAAGCTTGGGGAAGAATCCATCCCACAAGGAGGTCTCCCTCCGTACGTCGTTCCAGGTAAGCAATTGGTGATACATTCCCAAGCTCACTTTTTCAAAGGCTGGATTTCTGGTCTAATGAGTTGGTTGGGTTGACTTCGAATCTTGATTTCTCTACTACTGTCTTTAGATTCACCACAAGCGCCGGTGTGGTGGAGAGAAAACCCCGAGGGATGGAAACTTTTGGAAACTCATGATTTTACTACTGGCACCACCGAGGCACATCGAGTTGCCACAAAGCAGGATTATGGATTGCTCAATAAGATTCTTGAAGCGGATCCCAGTTTGGCCAATGCTAAGGATGGCAACGGTTGGACTCCACTGCACGAAGCAGTCATTGCTACTTCGGAAGCCATTGTGGAGTTATTGATTGAAAGCGGTGCTGATGTCAATGCCGTCACCAATGGTGGCGAAACAGCACTCAGTCTTGCCACCGAATACAAAGGTGAAGATCATTCGCTCGTGACACTCCTGAAAAGTCTAGGAGCAAAGATGGGATCAGAACTGTAGGGGAGGAAGGAAAGCTAAAAACGACCAAAGGAGAAACCAAAGCCAGCAGTGTCAACACTATGAGGCTTTTGAAGCATACAGGCAAGATTCTTCATACGACTTCAGCAAAATTGACTGAACTAAAACTTAAGGCCTTTGCTACTTCTCATGGTAATGATAATGTCGCAGTGGATGATACTGGGAATTCCCCTTCGGAACTCCCAGTCGGCTCATCCGGCTGCATCCGAGATATGTTGGGCAAAGCTTTTCATTAGGGGCAGATCAACCCACACCCTCTCAGCTGGCTGACAATAATTCGTCCATTCAAAATGTATGGCCGAGGGTATCCGAGCAAGGCCCTGATGTCTCAAGGCTGTCCACAAAGCCTAAGGGAGATCCATACCTGCAGCCGAAACGTGAGTTCTGTTGTTGATTTTCTTAGGAAGAGGTGCCACTATCTACAGGTTGGGACTTACGACTGATTCTTCGTTGCCGATGACCGGGGTGGTCGCGGTTAGTTTGGGTCCTCGTCCCAAAGTCCACAAGGTACGCCCATGTGCCGTATGCGATTGTCAAACTTCCCTGGGGGTCTCGTTGATAGGCGGCTTCGATTTCTGCCTGAAGTCCGCCGCTATAAGGCACCGACTGACCCACATCGTCGTGATAAAACCACAGTGCCTTGACTTGTCCCTCTTCAGTGCCGGCGGTAGTAGCCTGCAGGGTTCCGGTTTGCCCATCCCCGCCTGTACCCTCTATGTTCTCATCCCTGGGAGCGCCATCGAGTGCAGCGTCAGGCCCAGCTGTACTGTTTTGGCTGCTACGAAGGCTGTTCCACAGCCCACGCAAGCTCCATCCGTCGCTGCCAGGCTGGTTGTTCTCATCGCTATCCCCTTCGCTCGACTCGGTCCTACTGGTTACATCCAGAGTCTCCTTTTGGGCTTCTTCTTGGCTTTCAAAGGGAGTGCGAGAAGGATCGCGCGGGCCTTTGTAGTATCGAATGAGGTACGATGGGTAAGCTCTACCGTTCTCGTAGACGGTGTGGATCTTGGTGCCACATGGGGCCACTCCAGAAACGGTGTCGTATCGCAACCCATCAGTGTTGGGATTGCAAGGGGGTGCCACCAGAGCACGGCACTCCTCTTCGTTTTCTTCTCGATTCATTTCTATGGCCTGGCCAACCAAAAGGTTGACCAGAAAGATTTCTCTGTCATCGCCATCCTGTATTGTGATCCCCTCTGCGCTCATTGCACTTTGGTTGTTGACGCGATAACTGTAACAATCCGAATACTCAAATCTCTCTGAGAAGTCGGAAAAGGGGGCAGTGTTAGCGGAATGCAGTCTACCGTAGTGATGACGCCGTGATGGGCCGGACACCAACTCCATCCACTTACCGGCGAAGTACAAGCCACGCCCAAAATGCCCCGCGGCGGCATAATTCATCATAAAACCATCATGGCTGTCGCTTGTGATAACGTCAGGGTTCAACGACGAAGTTCCGTGCCACACTACCTGTTCGTTTAGAGCGGCTTTGTCGTTGAAATCAAAACCATACTTGCTCGCGAGTTGGTTCTTCCTGAATACCCAGTAGCTCCACAGACCATCATTCTGCAATCGAAAGAGCTTGGAAATCCAGACATCTTCGCTCGTGGTCTCTCGCATCTTCTTGAACACTTCCCAATACTCCGCATCCGTGTGAGAAATGGCAACCAAACCCTCAGCGTCGGTCCAGGTCGCGGGCCTGGGTTGCTCCAAAAGCCTTGCGATTTCCTTGTAAAGGGATCCTTTTCTTCTCCTTCTGGCTCCTTCGTTGGAGTCCATAGCTTCGATTTCTTCCTCGAGAAGTTTTAGCCTCCGCTTGATTGGCAAGTGCTTTTTGTAGAGGTAGCAGGCGAGAGGAAACAATATAGCCAAGAGAGCACCAAGTATCGCGAGACCGATCAAACGCCAGGGAACCACTGGGTCTGTGGCCGACGGAGGAACCACACCGCACCCAACCTCAGCATAACAGACTTTGCCCAAGTCAATATCGACAAATCCAGGGGCAGCAGTCCCAATTGGAATGAATCCGCCTCCTTTGTGGGGAAAAGACATGACAGTGTATCTCGGATTGGCCCGATCCCCATTCCCGTCGAATTCCACCGAGCCACTTACACCTTCAAAGCTGTGGCTTCTCAAAGCGTCAACGACTGCCGTGCCATTGAAACGATGCTCTGGGGAGACTCTTGCCAAAGCCTTGGCAAGTGCCAGCACGGAATCGACCGTTCTATCCGCTGCACTATCCGGAAGATTTGTCATCACAGGCCGACCCTCACGCTTTTGCTCGTCCTGCAATCTTCCCAAGAAATCCTTGTATACAGCGCCGGAAAAGTTACGGTAAGGAACAAGCCCAACGTATCCTGATATCGACAGCAGAAACAGTGTCAGGATCGTGAAACGTTACCCATGCAAAGGAGACGCACTGGCCCTACCTGGGTGTTCGCCCATCCACGACAGCTCCGGGTCCAAAGGTGCTCTCCCAGTCCACGCATCACAACCAACGAATACAGTGTCTGGTTGGAATCCTTCCTGCTTGGCAATCTTGAGGATTGGGAATGCATGCTGGTGATGGGCCAGAAGAACAACGACCCTGGAATTGAGAGAGGGATTTTTGACGGGTACATTGCTCAAGATAGCTTTCACAGAATCCGGGTCCACTTCATCGGTATCTTGGTCGACTTGCACGGTTCCCTCGTAGCCAATTTCACCAGTGAAGCCATCCTGCATTCCACGCCAAGCTCGGGTCAACTCAACTTTGAATTCTTGGGCATATTGGGTATTGGTGTTGATGATTGAGATTCGATCCCAACCAAACTCTTGCAACAGCGACACCAAAGCACCGACTTGACCGGAAGCAGTATCACCAGCCACCAGCCGGTTGGAGGTGGGGTAATCGCCCTTGTTGCTCAGCATGGGGCCTGTGGCCGCAGGCGACAAGAGAGCCACATTTTCCGCCGCAGCCAATGTTGCGATGGCCATGGTGGGGGCTGTGCAGCGAGTACCCAAAATCGCATTCGGCAAGCCGTGTTGGCTAATAGTTTTGAGAAAAGCCCTAACAGCGACGCCGCGGTCACAATCGGAGTTTGAGATGCTGTACTCCAGTGGTACACCGCCCAGAATGTCACCTTGCCATCCATCGTTGATTAGCCGAACCGTGAAATCAATCAGCTCTTCCGCCCAAGGGAATCGAACAGTGTCAAGGAAGGCGGCTATTTTCAATCGATCTGTTCCTGTTGGGAGATCCATGGCAACTGACTCTCTTGCTTGTGTTTCTGTTTTGCTCAGGAAGGAAACGAGTGGCGGTTGTGTGGAGGTTGTGTGGAGATGGTTCCTGGAGTGCTTCCGCGAGGGGAAGCTCGGGTTGGGTACCCCCGAGACGTGGATCCATTTGAAAGATACGGTACCACTTGCATCAGGTCGCGGATCTTGTAAGATCGTCTGTGCTCTTAGACGACTGGCATTTAAGTCATTCAATTCCCACCACATACAAGCAACCAAATAGTGGGACTCGACTCGAGCCTGGAAGCTTTGGGTTACCCTTGTAATTTTAAAAGATACGAGTACTACAGCACTGCATCCAACCAAGAAGATGAGTGGATTGCGATCCAAGTGTTCGGCCCTGTATGCTACAAGAAGCAACCGATACCACACCCTACTTGCCACGTTCTCTGATCAACAGCGAAAGGAAACAGATTAGATTTCGGGAAGGACGACCCACCATTCCTCTCTGGATACTGGCCGCAACCACACAATGCATACCGGTAGCACGCCCCATGACCACATCAGGCAGACATCAAAACACCTAGAATTCGGTTGAGGCCGATAGCTGGGGATACGGGGTTGAATACGGCACCGTAGCGGTGTGGCCGATGATATTGAATCACATATAATATGATACAAGCAAAAAAGCCAACCGTTTTCATTGCCGCCTGCAGGCCTAGAGGTAGACCCGGTTCTCAGTCTCCTCGAGTAAAAAACAGCATCATCACTACTTTATTATGCTACGAGTACCGGGGACAGAATCGGGAAACACAGGACCGATGGTCGTTCAATATTTTAATTAATCATTGTGCAACTTGACGCCTTGGTGGGGATCAAGAAGGGTACAATGTCAACAGACGTTTGTGCTACTGTGCCGTACAGGACCGATACTCGATGAATCCTCATGAGCGCCAACACGACGTGACAGGTTGCCACGAACCAGGTTGACCGTCTCTTCTTTTGCGTACGGTACGGTGCGCGATACGGCAGAGGCATACATCGTGTCGTACCGTACCGGTAGGTGGCTGTGAGAGCTGTGACATTCTCGTGTTGCTGACCCGGCGCTGCGGGTTCGGTAATTACAACAACAAGTGACGACTCAGTCATCACAAAAGTACCGGCATGTCTTTTTGTGACCTCAAAGGGTCTTGGGAAATAAGGTTGCTTTCTTTGAAATGTCCAGAAAAATTGCGAACCAAATCCGAAAGAGGTTCTCATCACTATCCAGCCCAGCAACAACAACACAAAAAACAACAACGACGAGCAATCAGGTGACTGAGAAGTCTGGGGATGGCACTTCGCAGCAGCCACAACACAACACAACACAACACAACAACATACAAGATCGAATGAAGCAAAGCTCCTTGCGAGGAAGATGCCCAACACAGAATTGTGCTAGCTAGCTAGAAACCCAACAGACCCCATCAATCTATATATATATATATCTTTCTGCGAAGCCCTCCAGCATAACGAACTGCCAATGATGCGAACGCGTCCATGCACTCTCCTGTTCCTGTCGGGTCTGCTGTTGGCACTGCATGTCTCTGTTAGTCGAGGGACCATTGAAGCGGATGGTGCCTGCAGCGTGCTGACCATGGTGCCCTTCACCGACCAGTGAGTACTGCTACCGTACTGTTGGGTAGCAATGACCGTGTTGTGGGTGTAAAAGCATGAGTCTGACTTTCTTTTTGTTTCGTTCTCTTGTATCCTCATCGTTATTAGAACCAGAACCCAACGTTTACCTCCGCCAAATAGCAACAACAACAACAATGAAACCAGCAGCAATAGTGTTCCAAGTTATCCACGATGGCCCCCCACTCTGCTTGCAAACTATGCATACAGCTACATGGCCGCCGCCCAATTGGCCATGGATCATTTTAATGCACGAGACACCACCGTGGTACCGGAATTGTCCCAGTTGCAGGACTGTGCCGTCTATTTTCCACCACAAGTCGTTGTCGATTCCGGCTTTCAAGATACCCGTGCCGTCATGAGTGTCTTGACGGGTCATCACGGGGGTCTCATTCAATCGTTGAAAGAAAAAATGCGACCACCACCACAACGACAACTCGCCACACTACAAACGCAGAGACGGCAACAACAGCAACAGAATCCTCCACCACCAAATAGCGACAACAATCCACTCCACGATGCTGCTTGTCCCGATGTGGCAGGCTTGGTGGATCAATTACTCCCGCGCTATTGTGCCATTTTAGGACCTCGTAGTGATCGATCGGTCAATCAAGTCGCGGCCCTGACGGGAGCCCTGGACATTCCACAACTCTTGTATGGGTCGCAAAGCCCCATGGCGATCGATCCAACCCAGACCACGTCCACCATTGGTGTCAACTTGTCCGTGGAGGGTCGTGCCAAGGCAATCGTCTCGTACTTACAGCGTCAACAAGGACAAGACGAACTACAACGCAACTATTTGGCCATGGTGTACAGAGAAAATCCACTGTTTGGGGGATTGGAACGGAGCTTGCGGGAGTTTGGGAAAGACATGGGACTGAAAGTCGTCTCTGTGGAAGCCGACGGAGGTCCGGGAGGGAGTCGCCTGGAAGCGGCGCGAAAAACCGTGGAAAAAGTGCACCGAACGGGTATCAAGACGGTATTGTTGGCATTGGATGACCCGGCAGATCTGGCCAATAATTATGCCGTGGCATTGCAAGAACAAGGCATGTTTACAAAGGATAACATTTATCTGCTATTGGAAGAAGCCGTCGGTACCAGTGATGATAGCCTGGCCGAGATTTTTGGAATGCAAGAACCGAACAGTCCCATTGACAATCTGCTGAATGGTGCCGTGGTGATTAGTGCCGCGGAACGGGTCGTTAATGATGACACGGAGCAGGAGGATCCCTTTATGACAGCCTGGAAGACGCAGAATGCTTCCATGGTGGAATACTTGAATGAATTGGCGCCTGTCGATGATACCACTGGTGAAAAACTATTTCAAGCAGAGCCGTCGTATTTCCAGGACACCAAACCAGAACCAATGGCGTCCTTTATCTATGATTCCGTCATGGCTGCGGGATTTGGGGCATGTGCATACAATGGGGAAAAGCCGCCTCGTCCACAAGAAGAAGGTCAGCAGCAGCAGCGACCACCACAACTGCCGGAAGTGGAGGAGGAAGTTCCGCCACAGGAAGTTCAGGAGCTAGCAACTCAATTACCGCCAGTGGGGGAACTACCAGAGCAAATAATACAGCAAGGAGCAACTCAATTACCGCCGGTGGAGGAGGATGAGCTTCAATCTCCTCCGCAAAGTCAGGATGTAGCGACTCAAATACCTCCAGTGGATGAAGGGCAACTACCACCGCCTCCTCAGGATGGTCAGCAGCTGCCGTCACAAATGCCAGAGGGACAACAACTCCAACCTCCCCCACAGCAAGGGCAGCAGCTGCCGCCACAAATGCCAGAGGGACAACAACCCCCTCCTCCTCCGCAAGGAGAGCAGCCACCACAACAACAAGGTCAAGGAGCAATCCCACCTCCTGGCGATGTCAGGATGCTGCGGCTTGTTCCACCAGCAGAAGAGATTGACCCCGATCTTGGTTACATCCCCACTGTTGAGAGACTGTTTCGCAGGATAAGCTCCGCCTTCTCGTCGATGGAGCAATCATTGTACTTTACCACCGAAAACGAAACAGATCATGTGTCGAGAGTGCAAGTGTCCTACAACGATACATACGGATACCCGCAGCGCGTTCTGATTGTCTACGAACGTGTAGTGGAAGCGGAAGCAAACGAAAGTGCAACTACTTATGATGATACGTACTTTGCTACCGTCACAGATTTGGTTTCGGTAGAGGGATCGGACAACAGAACAGGCTCCACCCCGGCTCCGTCCATAAAAGCATCGACAGCCATCACGACCGGTGAGGATCTGACAGAGTCCCAGCAAGTCTTTTCTGATGCGGTGGACTTGTGGAACTCGCACGATCTTCGGGAATACACGTTCCAATATGATTTATTCTTTGACAGTGTCTCGTCGATGGCTGAAGCCAACCGACAAACAACGCCATACCCATGGACTATTGTTGTCCGTGGTGAACAAGTGGCATCCGTTACAGATTCCAACGGAACCTTGCTCCTGTCTCCAGATCCTCCCTCGCCTGGCAACGCTCTGGCCAGCAATAACAGCAGCAACAATCCCACCTTGAATGAAACTTTGAACGCTAGTTCGACTACAGAGCCCTCGGTTGCGCCATCCTTGGCGCCGCCCACAGAAATGCCATCAATTGCTAACGCAGCCGTTACAACCTCCGTTACGACGGCAACGCTCGCACCAATTGTCACACAATCAAGTGCACCCGAGGGCCTGAGTGAGAACCAAGGAAGCGGGTCAACAAATGTGGCGCCCGACAACAACGCGCCACCCTTGGGGATGCCGGGGCCGCAAAATGGAGGAGGAACAGGCATGCAAAGGACTCTCGTTACTTTTATTTTGGAATCAGCATTCACCGGCGCTTCAGGGAGGGTTGGCTTTGGTGCCGAAGCCCCGAGAGGCCGTGACACAGAAGGCGTGACGTCTGGCGCCTTCAATATTCGCCCGTCATCAAACTCTGGGTCTGGACTCAGGACATACACCTCGACACTGACGTCCTACACCGTCCTACCAAACCTCACCGAATCAAACGAGTGGAAACGAGTCCCTAACGAGACCTTTGTTTACCGTGATGGTGACACTGCACCCCCCACTCTCCTGAGGGAGATACACAAAGAAAACTTCTTGTCAAAACCAGTCCATATCGTCGGCATGACGCTGTTTGCCACCGCTTTGTTCTTGTCCATGGTTGCTGCTAGTGGTGTGCGGTATCTCTCAGATGATCGAGTAGTGAGATGTAGCCAGCCGCCCTTTCTGTATCTGCTTTGTTTTGGATCTGCGATGATGAGTGCTGCCATCTTCACTCTATCTTGGGACGAGAGCTACGGCTGGAGCCAGCAACAGCTTGACGTTGCATGCACCTTGACGCCTTGGTTCTTCTTTGTGGGCCATCTTCTTTGCTTCAGTTCTCTCTTTACTAAGCTTTGGAGAGTGGACAAGGTCCTCCAGTTCAGCAGGTGAGTCAAAACATCGAAACGTTGTGGGCCATCCTGTCCGATTGCGTCCCATCCTCACTATCTGTCTTTCGTGCGACTCCCAGGCGCAAGGTCAAGATTGTGCAAGTCATCGTGCCGCTTGTCCTCCTCCTTCTTGCTGCAGTAATTGTTCTATCGGTGTGGACCGCAATTGACCCGTGGGTTTGGGAGAGATCACTTATCAACGAAAGTCCTCCCGAGACATACGGCGAATGTACAAGCGAACACACCAGTGTATTCTTCTTCCTTCTGGCGGGCCTCATGGTCTTGGGAAAAGTAGCCACTGCAGCCATGGCTTGGAAAACTGCTGATATTCCCCAAGACTTCAGCGACACCAGTTCTGTCTTCTATGCCCTCTCTACTCACCTCCAGGCTTGGTTCATCGGTCTACCTATACTGGTCGTGCTTGGAAATGACTCGGTCGATGCGACTTACTTTGGCCGCGTCCTTTTGATTTGGGTCTTCTCAGTGTCCGGGGTATCTCTCGTAGTTCTTCCCAAGATTGTGAAGGCTGTGCGGATCCGGATGAATCCACATGCAGGCCGGGCGGATCGAGTGAGAGTGACAATTTCTGGGATGAGTGCTCCACCAACGAACAGCAGAGCCTCCCACACTGCTATGCATCAAAGCCAAGCGTTGTCAGGGAAGCCGGAATCACAAGAAGCAGCACGGAATTGATCGGTGCAAATGTCACAAGGTGGCCCGCTTGCAGGCCAGTACACCGTGTAGTATTGGGCTAACTATTAAAATGGGCCTCGAAAGAATCACTTCTGATCTTGCTTGGTACAGTATTTGGGTCTAGTCGATTGACCGATTGACCCTGCTGTAGATTGTTAGTTGAGCAGACGAAGAAAGAGACAAACTGGTGCAATCACACAAGCAGGAAAGGAATGAGGTGTTTGTCAAGATACAGTAAAGTATTCCCGACAGTACTTTAATAAAGTCAAGTCTTGTTTTGAGGATGCCACAGGAGCTTCAACATGATGCAAGTTTGGTTTTGGCCAGGTGACGGACAACTGAGTTCCTGTCACTCATCCACTCCTGGGGACTCTCAGGGGTTCCGAAAGATTCTTTTGGTGTGAAAGACAAATTTTGGCTCACACCACCACCACACACAAATCCAGCAATCAATAAAAACAAAAGAAGAGCAAAAAGAATGAACACAGGCACTGACAATCGCTCGTCCTCGTCGACGTCTGGATGCTGCGGCATCCTTGGAAGATACCCAATCGCAACTCTTATCGCTTTCGCCTCTGCCGGAATCGCTACAGGAATTGGTCTCACTTTTTGGGAACCTGAAGATGTCGAGACAAAGGTTAACCTCATCAAATGGATCGGGCTTGTTGGAGACCTATTCATTAGGGCCCTCAAGTGTCTGGTTTTGCCACTCATTTTTGTGAGTGTCACCATCGCAGTCCTAGAGATGCTCGCTGTTGGCCGCGCAGGATCCGTGGGCTGGAAAACTCGTGAGTCTCTCGCTGCTCTCCCGGGAACAAAGATAACCGGAGCTACTGAAAGCTTACACCTTCTCTCTTTTCGTATGAATTTTGACATGAAAACTTCAAAAGTTGGATTGTACATGACGACAACTGTGATTGCTTCGATCATTGGCATTTTCTCCATTATCTTGTTTCAAGGGACCTTTAGTCAGGGTGAATTTCAGCCTCCCGCCCCGCCTACTGTCGAGCTTGGATGCAACAATGAGGGTATGTACCTTACCGAAGCCTTGGATGGTAGCATTTCTTGTGCTGCACACAACGGAACCAATTCACAGTTTTACCTCGAGGATATTACTGGATCCCTTGTCCAGTCTTCGTCGGATGACCTGGAGGAGAAAAGCATGAGTGACACCCTGTATGAGGGTGTATTCACAAAGATTGTAACAGACAACGTCTTTGTCTCCTTCGCAGAGGCCAATTTTGCAGCTGTAGTTTTCTTCTCGATCTGTTTTGGTGTTGCTGTCAGCCAGACCTCTGCGGATGATGACGTCGAATCCAATGCGACCCTTGTTGTCAAGCTCTTCAAACAACTGGAGAAAGTCTTTTTGAAGATGATCCAATGGGTTATTGCAGTGACACCTTTTGCTGTGTTTTCCCTTATTGCAGAAGCGATTGGTGCTCAAGCTGATATCAAGGAAGCATTCTCAAACGTTGGATTCCTGATCGTTGCCTTCGTGGTTGGCATCTGCATGCACTTTCTCATCGTGCACGTTGGACTTTTCTATGTTGTCACACGACGCAATCCTTTCTCGTACCTAAAGCATCTCATCCCAGCCCAAACCATGGTAAGATAAAGCAGTGACCGCGTATCTGCAACGTGGAATCACGAAGTGTGATGTGCCAACCCTCACATGGCGCTTTGGTTTCCTCGCTGCCTTGTTGTCTGGTGTGAAGGCATTTGCGTGTGCAAGCAGTGCGGCAACAGTCCCCGTTACTCTGGAGTCTGTAAGGTCAACTGGGTGGGTTCCAGACCCTATTGTTAGATTCGTCGTGCCACTGGGAGCCACCGTAAACATGGACGGCTCAGCTATTTACTACCCCATGGCTTGTATATGGCTTGCCTATTTGAATGGGATAAACCCGGATGCTGCGTCTTACGTCCTTTTGGTCATTCTTGGGACACTAGGAAGCATCGGCGCGGCCCCAGTCCCTTACTCCAGTTTGGTGCTGATCATTACGGCATACAACACTGTCTTCAACACGACGGGAACTCCAGAAGGAATCTCATTTTTGGCAGCAATCGACTGGTTGATTGGCTCGCTGCGCACTGTGACCAATGTTACAGGCGACGCAGTTGTTTGCGGGATGATTGGCCACCTATGTCCTTTAGATGAGGAAGAAACCATGGAGACTGTCATTGAGGCATCAAAGGTCATGACTGAGCCATCCCACTCGGGAGGCCCCACGGGCAGTGACATTGGCAAAGACAACAACTCCGTGGGTGAGGAGTCAGAAGTATACAACTCTTGAACAAGTTGCTTGAAGAGCAACGTCACCATGAAATAAATAAATATAATCGAGAGCACAGTAAAAATGAAAATGCAGGCTCGGCCTTTATACCAGAACATTGTTACGTTCAAGTGTTGCTTGATTGAATCATTCATTCCGAACGAAACTCACGCGACAGCACAGGCCCGTCTCAACATGCGACTGCATTCGTCCGTCTCGACCCGAGACGAGAGCTTCAAACAATATTTATAAAATACCATAAAACTTCCACACCGTATCATGCGTAAAACAGAAAGCATGTATACACACTTCGTCTCTACCCGGAACCCTACAAGCCACCATCCCTTTCCTCGGCAACTGGAATTATGACAAAAGTTGAGGAGGATGCATTGGAGGATGGTGCTTCTGTCGTGCCGCAAGGGCAGCTGCAACCACAGATTGGTCCACAATCGAACACCAGCTCTTTAAACTCCGAAGACCAATCACACAGCTCATCAGGTATAGTTCCAGAGAGGCCATCATTGTCCGTCAAGTTCAACAGTCCAAAATTTGCATTCCCTGCCAATAAGCCAAGCTCACTTGGAACTGCCCCTGTGAAGCTATTGGAAGCAACATTGAGCTCTCGAAGTCGTCCTAGGACTCCAATCTCGGGCAGCAACTGCCCAGAGAATGCATTGTTTTGGAGATGTAGAAGTTGAACTCGTGTCCAGTTTTGAAAACCCTTTGGCAGAGCCCCAGTGAAGTAGTTGTCAAAGATTTGGAATCTCTCCATGCGAGTGCAGGCAGATAGCCCCAAAGGGAGGGATCCAACAAAATAGTTGTTGTAGAGATAAAAGCGTTTCACAAGTTCCATGCCTGAAATCTCCTCAGGGATAGACCCTGATAACATGTTGTTTTGAAAATAGAGCCTATCCATGTTGGTCAGCCTTCCGAATTCTGTTGGAACTGTTCCAGTCTGCACGACAAAAATCAAATCACTAGTTCAGAAAATGCTGCCTGCCACAGAAACTGGAACAGCATGACTTACAAAATAGTTATCATTGAGGAACAATCTAAACAGTTTGGTGGCCTGGCCTAATTCTGAGGGAATACTAAAGAGGTGGCTGAGTTCATTTGACAAATGAAAATTAGACACCCAACGCTGCCTGAACTTACGTGCCGGTCAACATGTTCTCACGAAGGTCTATCTGACCTTCATTTGGTCGGATGAACCTTGCATATTCAATGCCCTTGATTGTGCCAAACTCTGTCGGAATGGTCCCTAAATGAAATACAACTCGAGTTGAGTGACCTTGTCGCAAAAGGCAAATGCAGGTCTATTTTGCTTACCTGTCAGCCTGTTTTGCAGCAGTGAGAAAAACCAGACATCTTCCAAGCTGGCAAGCTCACTTGGAATCTTGCCAGACTGCATTTGCATAAAACTGGTTAGACAACAATGTGCAAAAAGCGGGCAACAGTGAAACCAATTCGGCTCACCAAGTCATTGTTCCACAGAAAGAAGAATTCCAAAGAAGACATCAATGCCAGCTCACTAGGAATGGTGCCATTGATGTAGTTTCCGGCGAAGTAAAGATCAAAGAGGTTCTTCAGGTTTGAGTATTCAACAGGGATCGACTCGGTCACATTGGTGTCAATAACTTGGAAAGTCTTGAGATTCGACAAGAGACCAAGCTCAGAAGGCAAGGTTCCAGTAATGCCTCTGCTGCCAAGCTCCAGGCCTCTCAATTCTGTCATCAGAGCTAGTTCAGTTGGGATTGTTCCCGTCAGAGCTGTGTTGACAAAGACAATGTCATGTAGCCAAGTCATTTTGGCAAGGACTGCTGGGATGGTTCCTTGCAGTGCAGTGCCATAGAAAGTCATCATCTTCAAGGATGTCAGCATCTCAAGCTCAGGTGGAAGTTCACCACTGAGAGTTTTTTGCTCATGCATTGCCAGATAAAGAAAGTCATCATCATCCAGTGTTGAGGTGGTACTGACATATGTGGAATTCAGTACATCAGTTCCAATGGGAGCACAAGAGCCATTGATGAATCTGTACTCCGAATTCCTCATTCCAAACCGCAGATACTGGGTACCACTTCCCATAAAATGGTCCCAGTAACACTCGTGCTGTTGGAATTTGAGCCAACCAGGTCCCCAATTTTTTCCATCTGTAGCGTACCAGAATGTGGCCAAGGCAAAACGCTGCTGCAAGCGTTTCTCGGAGTAGAACTCAAAGTTTGGATCATTTATGAGCCATTTAAAAGCACTGGCTTGAGGGCTTCCACCCGCCTGAAGCCTATCAACAGTATAGTCAGGAAGCAGCGAAGCCAAAATTTCAGAGTTTGTTTTGGGGGGCTCTGTCACTGACGAGTTGGTAATGTTGACGGGATCGGTGAAGGTATCTTGCGGAGGAGGAGGGTCATCGTCACTTTGTACCACAGCAAAGATGATAAAGAATATCACCAACGCAATGGCCATGAGGGCACCGATAGTAATATTGAATTGTCTCTGTTTCTTCTTCTCCTGTTGAGCTCGTTCTTGATCCGCTAAATCCACAGGTTGAGCATTTTCGAGATCCCCAACATTTTCCTCTTCCACGGGATTCGCAACCGCTAAACCAAAATTAGTTGACGGTGGTGCCCCAGCCATGGCTGCGTCAGCCGCTGGGTCCAGACCATCGTCCTGGCCAGCTTGGCCTGGCATGCTAAAGGCCCCAGGATGCGCCCTGGCAGCTGGAACAACCGGCCCTCGCTGCAATCCAGTCATGGGTACACCAGGAGCTCCAGGTGGGGCTTCAGGTGGGGCTCCAGGTCCCTCTGGGGGGCCAGCCTCATTTTTGTTGTTGATTTCCGAAGAAGCAACATTGCCTTTCTGGACACTTGGAGTGTCGCTTGGCTGCTCTTGTGGCACGGGAATACCAACCGAAGCCGTCACTTCGCCTCCTGGTTTTGTCTCTTTAGCAGTTGATGGCACGGGAATCCCAACCGAAGCCGTCACTTCGCCTCCTGGTTTTGTCTCTTTAGTAGTCGATGGCACGGGAATCCCAACCGGCGCCGTTAGTTTCTCTGTTTCTTCTTTGATTGGAGCGGGTATTCCCACCGCAGCCGACACTACTGCTGGTGGCTTTTTGTCATCGTTATTATCCTCGACAGCAGCAACGCTCTCCTCGTCAAACCTCTGCTGCCAGTAAGTAGCAACACTGCCTTGGCCTGACGCTGTCGCCTTGGCATCATCGCCGCCGTTGAAATCCGCGCCCGACTTGGTCATATCTTCTTATCTTCTGAAGAATAATGAGGGTCTGGAGATTGAGTTTTTTTGTCTAGCTAGCTAGGTGCATGTAATTCTTTGCTGGACTTCGTTGACTAACCGTGCAGACAGCCCTCACAGAAGGTCGTATCAGCGCCACCAAACGCCATCAAGACGCCTACCAAGCGGCTTTCGAGACCCATCAAGCCACTCTCACTCCGGCTGAGCAGTCCCGCCTCAATCGCAGTCGTTGCACTGGCTCCTGGCTTGCAGTCATGCCCGATATTGCCAAACGCACTCACCTCTCTGCTCAAGAATGGCGTGATGCTCTCTTTCTCCGGTTCGGTCTTACCCCCCAGCTCTTCCAGCTCTTTGTGATGGCTGTACTGGTCCCTTCAGCGTTCCACATGCTCGGATTGCAAACGCGGTGGCTTAATCATCCGTCGCCATAATGAAATCCGCAATGAACTTGGTTCTATTGCATGTGAATGCTTTGGTTCCTCTAGCGTCCAATCCGAACCACCCCTTCCATCTGTTCCCGCCCCTACTATCCCTGCCGGTCACCCAATTTCTACCTTACCTCCCCTTCCTCCCCCCCTCTCAATCCCCCTCCAGCCCCCGAGCTCTTACGTGGTGATCTTTCCATTCGCGCTTGTTTGAACGAGGTACTACAGCTATTATTGACGTACGTGTCACTGATTTGGACTGTGCCTCTTACCGCAACAAAGATCCCGTCAAAGTTTTAACCCAACAAGAACGCGACAAAATTTCAAATATAAAGATGCGTGCGAGTCCAATCGCGCTTCCTTCCACCCCTTTGTTGTTTCAGTGGATGGCATGCTTGCCCCTCAAGCCAAGACTCTCTTACAACGCCTTGCTTCTGCTACTGCCTCCAAAACTCAATTTTCCTACTCTCAAATGATGTTCTTCATGCAGACCCGTATCTCAATTGCCCTTGTGAAAGCTACCCATTTATGTCTCCGTGGATCCCGCAAAGCCAAACCCTTTGCCCCCCGTAATGGTCCTCAATTTCTTGCCCCTGATCCCACAGAACCTAGTCCTGAATTTCGACTGTTCTTTGCTTAAGCCTGGCCCCGGCTGGCTTCCGTAGATAATTTCCCTACTCTAAAACCCCCCTTACACCGTGCAGACAGCTGGTTTGTTACTTCGCATGCAAAGGATTGATTACAATGATTTCACCGTACAGGTGCGTACCAACGAATGAGGTTACTACTACCAGTAGTATTAGACTAGAACCGTACTAGAGAGGCCCCCAAAAGCACGCACCTTAAGGTTTTGAGTTTCAAGGGTATCATGCATATCATATGTATCGTACGTATTGTATGTATTGTACATATTGTATGTATCGTACGTATTGTACTGCACTACGCTAAAAGCTAGTGTAAAGATCTTTCGAGTGTTTTGAGTTTGAGAGAATGAAAGTTATGAGAGAGATTAGAAAGCTATGAAAACTAATCAACGAGAGAGATCATCATCAAAGGATCGTAGATCTGGCTTCCCGCGGGAGACTATAAAGTGTGATAGAGTAGGTTGTGGTAGTAATCCTACGTCTCTCCACGATCCTCAAACGGAACGCGTGGAAGGTTTGTCTAGCCTGGATCTAGTAGCGTGGAAGTACTCCACGCTGGCTAAATATCTAGAGCGATGTTTCATCATCAAACCTAGTATGACTAGCGCGGTCATTGAGAACCCTGTCTCGAATGACTATTCACGAGAAGACTCAGTCATGAGTCGAACTCAAACCCTATCTAGGATCGAGTCGCGAATAAGGCTAAGAGCCGTGATTGCATTCGCCCCCTGACAAGGGTCACAGAAGGCGCGAAGCAGTCGGACAAGGAGAACATATGATTTAAAGTGGGGGCACTCTCATGAGATTGGATGTAGACATGTGCGTTCGCACGATGGCAATCCTACAAGGGATCAGGCCTTGTATGGGTGTATATACCTTATGTTCCAAAGTCTGGTAGACTGTGCCGCCGTTGGCGGTAGCATGTGGAGCCGTACAGTGCCATTGTCATTGACTCGGTCTATATGTGTAAGGACCTTTGTACTTTGGCTGACCGTACTTGCGTGCTGATACTGTTGAATCATCACAGTATCGTTGACATTGTATTGATGAGGGACACGCGTTGCGTTTTCCCTATCGTTGTTTTGTTGATTAGTCGTTGGCGACGTCCTTAATGTACTTCCAGTTGGCTTCGAACCGGACGTTTGAATCGCGTCACGATTGAACACGAGCTGTGCGGGCGTTGCACGCAAGGTGGTATGAATCGTGGCATTCATTGCAAAGCGAACCGCCGGAGGACTCCATCCCAGGATCCATTCACGAGTCGTCTTGCACTTGATGTTTTGAACAGCGATCAAGTTACGTATGGTTTTGATGAGCACGCTCGACCATAGAGTTGGCTTGAGGGTTACGCGTGGGTGATGAACTTGCGACGAAGTCCATATTCATCCCGGAGTGTCTTTTCGACCTCTGCGCGGAACTCACGTCCTCTATCCATGATAACCTAGCAGGCCATGGATACCGGTAAGCCACGTTTGTTCTAGGACGATGGCTACTTCGTCTGCTGCCTTGGAGCAGATCTCTGCAATCTCGAACCATCCGGTTACGGGATCAATCATTGTCAAGCAATGAATTGTGCAGGAATTTTTTTCTTAGGATCCCGACGTTGTAAGGCCTATCAGTCAATCATAGTCTTTCCCAAGGGATCTCCTCGCAGTCTTTGGAGGCATCAATCCCAGCTTACGCGTCTTGGGTTTGTTCATCTGCAGCTTTGGCAACGCTGACATACGGCCTGCACAGTCCTGCGCAGCCCTTTCCAGGTGTAGTGTTGGCTGAGGTTAGTTCGTGCGAGTCTCGCCAGGATGCATCAGCACACCATGGTACCATTCAATAGCTTCTTCTGCATAGTTTAGGTACGACGATTTTCTCGTCCTTGACTACTAAGTCGTAGGACTTATCCCCTCTGGGAAAGATTGCTTCTTGTAGTCGTTTGGCTTGTCCCTGAGGAGCTTCTTGATATCGTTGTCGTCTTCTGACGATGTCGATCTCGGGGAACGAGAGAGGGAACTCGCTAGGGAAGTCCTCTTCGTCTGCAGCCAGAGTTCAGCGATCTCGCTGGCGTACATCCCATCTGTTTCGAAGAACCTCGTTGTTGGAGATGTTAAGTCTCGAACACGCATCAGCGACGATGTTCTGTTCGCCCTTGATGTACCGTAGTTCAGGGCCGTATTCTTCCAGAATAAGGCGCCATCGCATTACGCGATCGGTATTGAAGTTCTACATGTAAGATTCTTGTGGTCCGTTTGTACAACGATCTTCTGTCCTAGAGAATGTTACGGAACTCTTTCAGAGTTTCTACGATACTGAGAAGTTCCTTCTCGGTAACTGTGTAACGGTCTGAGCAGGGTTGAGCTTCCTGCTGTAGAACGCGATAGGTTTTCCCTTCTGGGAAATTATCCGCACCTAGTTGAGTATCACTCGCATCCGTGTGGATAACGAAAGTATCGTTGAAGTCAGGGTAGGCGAGCAAGGTTTCTTTGCTG